GGAGGGGGTCTACCTGGGGAGCACCTGGAGCGAGGAAGAGCGGCGGGGGGGGAGAGGGGCAGTGTGGTAGGGGAAGAGACGGTAAAAGGGAACCGACTCGTCGAGCGTGACGTCCTGAGAGGGGAAGACACGGCGCGAGGTGGGGTGGTAAAACTGCCAACCAGGCGCATCAGGGACAAAGCCAAGGAAGACACAGGGAACAGCGTGGGCGGAGAGCTTGTCCGCGGTGGTATCGCGGACAAAGGCACGAGCACCCCAGACCCGGAAACGCGACGCATCGCCAACCTTCCCGGTCCACAGCAGTGTGGGCGAGGTCTCCGGCAAGGAGACACGGGGCCAGAGGTTGAGCTAATGCGCTGCGTACCGGACCGCAAACGGCCACAGAAAATGGGGGGCAGCCGCATGGATCATGGAGGTACGAGCGACCTCCATGACTAAGCCAATGCGGCGCTCAATAACCCCATTCTGCTGCGGAGAGGCCGGAAGCGTGAACGTCTGGCGGATGCCGTGCTCCGCACAGAAGGCTGTCAAGAGGTCTGAGGAGAACTCACCACCTCTGTCAGAGTGCAGACGCAGGACAGGAAAGTCCGAGTGGAACCGCTCGCGGAGCTGGAGACGAACAGCGCGGATCCAGGGGATCAAAACATCAGGGACCTCCCCCTTGCGCTGCAAGGGGAAGACCGTGGTGTAACGCGTGTAGTCGTCGACGACCAGCAGGAAGTACCGCTCGTGGCCCTGTCCACGGACGCGGGCAGGGCCCCACACGTCCAGGTGGAGAGTCTGCAGGGGAGCCTCTGTGGGAGGGAACGAGGAGGAGTGAGGAGCGGCGCGCTGCCGCCCCTCGACACAGGGAAGACAGGGAGGAGCAGGCGAGGGTGGGAGGGGAGGGAGAACCATGGGAAGACCAGAGACAAGGACACGGCGGTGCATGCTACGATGGCGCTGCACCGAGGGGTGACCAAGGCGGTGGTGCCAAAGGAGGGTCTGGTGCGACAAAGCGCGACACGAGCAGGGGGGCGCTAGCTGACTTGACGCAGACGCAGACGCAGCGGCTTGAGGGGACACAGTAGTCAGTCTGTACAGACTCGAGCCAGGCGCACGGGTAAACGTGGCCAGGTGCCGGCCCGTTCGGGAGCACGTACAGTGGGTCACGCGCTGACCTCCAGGAGTGAACTGGTCAACCCACTGATCCTGGAGGTCAGCACCACTCACCAAGTTCGTAAAGAACAAGGGGAGGTGAAGACCTGACAGGGAGCCAGACGGGACCGCCGGACACGGCAGGACCGTGGAGGAGTGCGCAAGTACTGGACCCCTAGAGGGGTCTGCCAGGGAGACTAGAACCGGCTGGCTGAGCGGCGTGAGGGTGGTGCTGTCGCGAAAGAAGGAGCGGGAAGCACCTGAGTCAAGTGTGAAGGTGTACAAGGCCTCAGCAGGCGCAGTACCAGAGAGAGCAGACTCACCAGCACCTAGAGCAGCAGCCTCACTAGCACCTATAGCAGCAGCCTCACCAGCACCTGGAGCAGCAGGCTCTATACCTGGGTCAGGCGGTACGCACAGGTAACAGGCACGGTCAGCACTAGTAGGCAATGCATACATGGCAGTGAGAATAGCATCAAAGTCAAGAGCAAATATATCTACCCTCTGCCAAGCAGCTCCACCCAGTCGGGGAGCTCAGCCGCGTCGCCAAACTCGGTACGCCAGGCGTCGCTCAGACGGGCGAAGCAGCGGGACTGTGTGTGACCAAGCGTCCCGCAAGCCTGACCGGCCCTATCACCTGTGAGAATGACGTACGGGCAGCGAACGGTACTCTGAGACCCTCTACTCTGAGCGTACCACTCACGAAGCTGCTGGGGCGTAAGTGTCTCGCGCGGACGCCGCTGCAGCTGCAGCTGGCCACTGCCAGACGCTCCCGACTGACCAGCTCCAGGGCGACAGCCACGACTGCTACCGCCACAACCCCAACTAGCGTACCACTCACGAAGCTGCTGGGGCGTGAGAGACTCACGCGGACGGCGCTGGAGCTGCATCTGGCCACCGCCAGTAGTAGCAGTAGCAGTAGCCTAGCAGTAGTAGCAGAAGTAGCAGCAGTAGCAGCGCGGGCAGGGCAGGCGCCGCAGGCAGGCAGGCAGGCAGGTAGGCAGATGGCGCGGCAGCGCGCGAACAAGGCAGGTGCTCACCAGTGGCGGGAAGGGCAGGTGCTCGCTGGGCAAGCAGGGCCGGCGCTCGGCTGCAGTGCCGGGACCACGACAGCGGCAGGGCAGGGCCGCGGCAGCTGCTGCAGGGCGGGGCCAGGCGGGGCCGTGTCGGCGGCAGGGCGGGGCCGCGACAGCGGCATAGCGGGGCCGCATCAACGGCAGGGCGGGGCCGCGTCGGCGGCAAGGCGGGGCCGCGACAGCGGAAGGGCGGGCCCGCGTCAGCTGCAGGGCGCGCCGCGACAGCGGCCTGGCGGGCAGCGTCGGCGGCAGGTCGGGGCCGCGTCGGCGGCAGGTCGCGGCCGCGTCGGCGGCAGGTCGGAGCCGCGACAGCGGCAGGTCGTGGCCGCGTCGGCGGATGGTGGGGCCGCGTCGGCGGCAGGTCGGGGCCGCGTCAGCGACAGGGCGGGGCCGCGTCAGCGACCTGGCGGGGCGGCGCTCTGGCCTGACGGGCCTGCAGGGGCCGCTCGCGGGCCTGACGGGCCTGCAGGGGCCGCTCGCGGGCCTGACGGGCCTGCAGGGGCGGCGCGCGGGCCTTACGAGCCTGCAGGGGCGGCGCACGGGCCTTACGGGCCTGCAGGGGCGGCTCGCTGGCCTAGGGCAGCAGTTGGCAGCGCGAGGGCTGCAGGACGGCGCGCGTAGCGCAGCACGTCACAAGGCAAGGCAGGCAGGCAGGCAACACGTGGGGTAGCACGGTAACCGCAACAGTAGGTGGGCCCGAAAAAAAAAAGACGGTCCTACGGATCTAGTGCTCTGAAACCATGTTAGAATCTAGTAGCAGGAGTGATTGAACTATGAAAGAATTGGGTACAAATATGAAACCCTTATATGGGCTGTACCCCATATTGGCTACCCCACTACAGCATAAACACATATAGCATATATAATATTTGACAAAACCATCCCAACTCTACTACTGACAACTCGCCTTCGACCCGCCCACGACAACTGCATTAATTCGATACCACATAAGGTGCTGCTAGCTGCAACTGCTGACGACACAACCTGAATTTTTTGATGTGTCACGACAAGAATCTTCAGTTCGATGTCTTTGATTATTTCGACGCAGTTTCTGGTCTACAACTTCTGGTTCGCCCTTGAAGAATTTTGGGGCACGTAATACCTGGTTTCGTCATCAATTTCCCACACCGACGCCTTTTCGCTAAGGGCATCCGCGCTTCTTTGTGCGACTTAACACCTGGTTTTTGTTGTTTTCATCTCGGCGCAGCTGTGAAGATTTTGTGGACAGTTTTCTTGGAGGGGAGGAGAAAGTGCGCTGCACTGTTCTTTCCTTTGGCGTTTTTCTCGGTCCTTTCTGACTTTGTCAGGTTGCGTCAGCACGACGGACGACCGCGATCACACCGACAAGATCGACGGTTCTTGCTCAATCGTGTTTGAATTCGCGTCAGCAGGTTCCCTCTCTTTTCGCGTCAGTCTTCGACCGTCAGATTTACATCTGCTTCATCGACGGCCCACATTCCAACTTCTACTTCATTTTGGGCCAGTTCATCGTTGACCGTCAGATCGAAATGGGACTTCATCAACGGCCTACATTCCAACCTTTTCAAAAATATTGTCAAAGGCTTTTTAGCCGTCGGATTCAGCTGAAGGGGAGATCTACGGCATCCTTGCTAGTGTGGGGCTTGTTTCACTACAAGGCTGCCTTATTTAGAAGGTGGGAGAGTGTAAGGATTTACAAATCCTTACTGAGACACTCGTTAGCGAGGCCATCCCGAGGGTCACGCGACGAACCTGTCTTGCCTATTTCGTCGCACCGAACCACCCCCGAGTCGGCCTCCGCTCCAATCGCAACCATCACCGAGCCATCCCTTCCCGAACCCCCCGCCTAGCTAGGACTTCCCCTATTTAGGCCTCGTCACTTTGTGTGTTCAATTCATTCGGTAATTCTGTAATTCTCATTCTCGTTATTCGATATTCTGCGCACTCTGCAAGTTCATTCATAACACGGCGGAATGTAGTAACGCAATGCTGTGAGTACGCCCAGCGAACTCTTTCGCAGCCACAACCAGCCCTCACCCCCACCTCACCCCACCCTTACGTCGGATCTTGTTCGGTTCGGCGAAAATTGACGTGTGCTTGTTACGCCCAAAGAACGAAATAATCGGAAATGGAGGCCTTCGCAATACCGCCATCATCCAGGCTTGCTCGGCCATAGCAGGCCAACGAACCACCCCATAGCTAGTAAAACTGTATTTTCGGCCGCCTTTTCCCGCACGTTACGCCACCATAGTTGCCAACTTGCCACATTGTTCTCCGTTTGTAACTTAGGAATCGCGAAGCCGTCATGCGAGTGGTTTCGCGCGACGCGCTTTTGCGACCGGCCACCAACCCCGTTCTCCCCCCACTCTCCCAAAAGCCTGTACCGAATCCATCCCTGCAAGGCCCGTTATTCGTTCTCGCGTGCGTCGTTCTCGTCGTACTCTCCCTGCAGCTCCTCTCGCCCCCTCGGGAGTATCCCAACGGTCATAATTATGGCGGCGCGGCTGGTAGCGGCGGCCCGTACGGCAGCAGCGGCGCGGTGCGCAACGTTCCGTCGCCGCCTGAAGATAAGGACTTCAGAGCGTTTATAGCGGAGCAGCAGATGCTGGCACATGCTAATAACGTGCACAAGGTGACTGCCACGTGGCACTTTCAGCCTCTCCGTTCTTGTTGAAAGTGCACCTCTCCCTCCCACCTCTCCCTACTGTTTCCTACCCTTTCCTACCCCTTTCTACCCATTCCCACCTCTGTGAAATTCCACCATACCATTCCAAACCATACTATACCACTCCCGACTTTCGCCCTCAGATGAACCTCCGCCGCCCGCCTCTCACAGCTAAGAGTCATGCAGCTGGACATTCTACAGCCAGCTGGACATTCTACAGCCAGCTGGACATTCTCATGCCCACCTGTCCTCTGCTCTACGCTCAAACCCACCATTCCTGTCCCACTCCTCCCATTTCGCGCCCACAGATGAACCTTCGCCGTCGCCTCGCACAGCTCAAGGTGATGCAGCCCCAGCTGGACATGCTGCAGAGCCAGCTGTCCATCCTCGTGCCCACCTTCCCCTGCCCCAAGGAGGAGCGTGTGGGCGTGTGGGCGGACGGCCGCAAGGTGAGTTGGAAAGCGCTGGGAGCGTGGGGAGTGGAGGGGTAGCAGCAGCGTGTCAGTGCAATGGGGAGTGGAGGGGTAGCAGCAGCGTGTCAGTGCAATGGGGAGTGGAGGGGTAGCAGCAGCGTGTCAGTGCAATGGGGAGTGGAGGGGTAGCAGCAGCGTGTCAGTGCAATGGGGAGTGGAGGGGTAGCAGCAGCGTGTCAGTGCAATGGGGAGTGGAGGGGTAGCAGCAGCGTGTCAGTGCAATGGGGAGTGGAGGGGTAGCAGCAGCGTGTCAGTGCAATGGGTCTCTTGCTGCAGTGCAGAGCAAGCCAGCTCTCCGTGCTAATGCCAACTTTCCCCTGCCCCAAGGAGGAGCGTGTGGGTGTGTGGGCGGATGGTCGCAAAGTGCGGGGAAGGGGGAGCCTTGGGCGCATGGGGGGAACGGAGTAGGGTTTGCGTGTCAATGCAATTGGTCCCTTGCTGCAGCCCAAAGCCAGCTATCCTCGTGCCCACCTTCCCCTGCCCCAAGGAGGAACGCGTGGGGGGTGTGGGCGGACGGTTGCAAGAAAACTGAGCGGGAAGCGGCGGGTGTATGGTGGGAGTGGCAGAGAATTAGCGCGTCAGTGCAATCGGTTCCTCCCTCCCATTCGAGCTTTTTAAGTTCAAATCCTTTTTTCTCTCCATATCCTCTTCCCTCCCCCACTATTTTTCCCTTCCCCATTTTCACTTCTCCTTTCCACCTTCTCGTCCTGTCCCCATCTATTTTGTTTTTCTTCCACCACCCCTCAGTGGCTTTGCAACATGAAGACATTTCTACCAGATAACCCCGTAGTGTACAGGTGAGTAAGGGGGTGCTGTGCGTGCAGGTGTATAGCGAAAGGTTTTGAGAACCCTGTAGTGAGTACGGGTGTGCAGCGTGCTTGCTTGAAAGATATATTCAACGTCTTCCCTCCCGATAACCCAGTACTGTAGTAAGGTGGCTGGAGGACAAGACACCATAGCAAGGGGGGTGAAAGCAGCATGCTTCTTAGACGCCGTGAAGGCCAAACACCGTGTTCTTTTGCTTTTGAGTAAACTTAAGATTCAACTAGGAAGGTGTCTGGAGGACACCGTACCAACCAAGGGGTGTATGCTTTTCAGGCGCCCTTAAGGCCAAACGCCTGTTTTTTGTTGCCTATGAGGGACTTGGCTTACAGGTAAGTGTATGCTGGCTAGATCATACGCAGTTGAGGTTATAAAAATGTTATAAAGTGCCTCTTAACGAGATCAATTGTGTGTGCAGGTGAGTAAGGTGAGCTATTTGTTTGCTGTCAAGTGCAAACGAGGCAAAACAATTGTACTTAGAACCATGAGAAGTGCGGTCTTTCTGTTATTTAAATCTTCCCGCTTCTCTCCCCTGCACCTTACATTTCTTCACCTTTCATCACTTCCTCATACGTACCTCACTTTTTCCCCCCTCACTCCTTTTCCCATCTCCCTCTCCTCTCCCTCCTATCCCTTCCCTCATATCCCCTTTCCCCCTCTGCCCTCCCTTCTCCCCTTCCACCCCACTCCTCCCTCCCTCCCAGCATAGGGTCAGGCGGGGAATACTCATTCGAAGAGGACATGTTCTTCAAGTTCCCCCTCACACGTCCGCTCACCTTCGACCCATTCCTCACGGCCTCCCTCGCCTCCTCCCTGCAAGCCCTCTCCTTCCTTTGCTTTCCTCCCCCTCCCCCTCCTCCCCCCGTCGCAGCATAGGGTCAGGCGGAGAGTACTCCTTTGAAAAGGACATCTTCTTCAAGTTCCCCCTCACGCGTCCGCTCACCTTCGACCCATTCCTCGACCCCTCCCTCTCCTCCTCCATGCAAGCCCTCTCCTTCCTCCGCCTCCTCCCCATCGGCCTCGCCGGGGCCGGGGTGATCGAGAGAGCGAGAGTGGACCGACCGGGAGTGCAGTTCATGACTGTGGGGGAGGTCATGGCTGCGAATAATCACTCCTATGTGGATGTTCTGAAGGTGGATTGCGATGGGTGTGAGGAGGGGTTGGTTTATGATATTAAGCCAGGAAGGAGGGAGGGTGGGGGGGAAGGGGTGGGGGATGGGAGTGGAGGAGGAGGGAGAGGAGAAGGGGGAGGAGGAGGGGAAGGGAGGGAGGAGGAGTTGTTGGAGGAGTTTAGCCGAGTGAAGCCGTTTGGGGACCCGGCGATTGGTCAGATACTCATTGACTTGCACCAGTGAGTGGGAGTGGGTGGGTGGGTGGGTGGATAGGTGGTGGGTGGGCGAGGGAGAGTGGTGATATACGTATCAGAAGCTGCTATTGGTCAGATACTCACTTACTTGCAACAATGAGTGGGAGTGGGTGGTAGTTGCTAAGAATCCAAAAAAAGCCTGCACAATGAGCGAACGGGTGGGTGGAGGAAAGATACCAATTTGGCATCACGCTGCCCATTGCTCTACCATCTTGAGAGCGTGGGTTACCATCTTGAGAGCGTGGGTTACCATCTTGAGAGCGTGGGTTACCATCTTGAGAGCGTGGGTTACCTGCTCTTTCATGTGCGGCCCAATCCCCATGCCGCATGTGTGTGAAAGGAATTCCTTCACGCCCCTGATTCTGACCCCGTTCCCGCTCGTGTTATCTCCCAGCCTCTACAACCCCACAATCACCCTCCCCATGGTATACCACCTGGAGAGCGTGGGCTATCTGCTGTACCACGTGGAGCCCAACGCCCATGTGTGTGAAGAGAGACAACTTGTGTCCTTGCTTCTTCTAATATGACCCTTCTCACCCTTGCTATTTTGCAGTGTCAATAACCCCGGCATCACCCTTCCAATGGTGTACCACTTAGAGAGCGTGGGCTATCTGCTGTACCACGTGGAGCCCAACGCTCAGCACCCCGACTGCTGCATTGAGCTGGCCTTCATTCACCAGTCGCTGCTGCAGCCCTGGGGCTCGTCGCGCAGTGACTTTCAAAGATGGAAGGAAGCAAGGGGGAAATGACATACTTATTATTGGGCTCTTCAGGTGTGGCTGCTGCTGCTGTTGCTGCTGTTCCGCTGTTTGGCTGGCTGTGTTGAGCCGGCCTTCATTCAGCAGGCGCTGCTGCAGCCCTGGGGCACATCGTTCAAAGACTACCGTATCAGAGGTGGAGAGCAAGGGGCAAGTGAAGCATTATTAGAAGTGTTCATCGTAGCAAGTAGCCTCTCCCAACCAACGCTCAGCACCCCGACTGCTGTGTTGAGCTGGCATTCATTCATCTGGCGCTGCTGCAGCCCTGGGGCACTTCGTACAGTGACTTTCAACGATGTAAGAAAGCAAGGAAATGACATACTTATTACCAATATCGGGTTTTTCAAGTGTGGCTGCTGCTGCTGCTGCTGCTGCTGCTGCTGCTATTCCTCTGTTTGGCTGGCTGTGTTGAGCTGGCCTTTATCCACCAAGCGCTGCTGCAGCTCTGGGCGGGCATATCATCCAGAGACTGAATACACATTCACCATCAGTAATACGTGGGGCACTGGGGCAGTCCGTATGAGCCATCTCAACCTTAGGGCCTAAATGGATCGAGCATGTGCTCCAGCCTTCACGTGCAGATACAACTTCTTTCTATCATCCGGCCACTTATGGCTTGTGTCTTGTGGGTGGCGGGACTAGTCAGTGATGCATTTTGTTGGTTGCGCGGTGTAGAGATTCACTACAGCGAACTCGCGCTCCTTGCTACAATCGAAGCATTACTACGACGAACGTCAGGCGGCAATCTCGAGGTTTTGTGTGAATGCATGTGCATGCAGATTCGCACAAACAAGCAGGATTTCATCAGTCTGTCACTCCCACCTCACAGCAACTCAATTCTAAATCCTGACAGCCACCAGTGATGCAGCCTGGGCTTGGCCATTCAACGGCGGCGGTCGATTCCCGCGTTGCAGCATCTTCGCGTAGCGGCGTTCGAGTCGACTGAATATTTAGTGTAGCGCGTCCTGCCATGAGCTTTAAAGCTCGATCGTCGCCGCGCGTAGGCTCGCGTAGCCCTCCTTCCACCTCCTCGCTCTCGCCTAGATCCGCGTCGACGATTAAAGACGTCGTTACTCGCGTCGCGTCATCCTCTCGCTATAATCTCAGGGCTGACGTCATGTGGTCATGGTGGAAGGACGTTCGGCTTCGCACCCTCGTTTTAGTCAACATCGCCGCGATTGTAGAGAGGGCGGACGAGGCGCTTCTTCCTGCTGTTTATAACGAGGTGTGCGTAATGCGAAATCTCATACACGGATAGCAAATCATTTCTCGAAAAATCGACTCCAATTTCGACTCGAAAATCTACTCAAAAGTCGACCGTCGACCAAAAATTCCGCGAACTCACCCACGCGCCGCCTCCCGCTACACGTGTGTCAGGCATTCCGCGCTCCTCTGCCATTTTCATTCCCCGCAGTTATCATTTTTACCCTGCAAAGTTCCAACCCCTCTTCGTCAAAAGACGTACTCCTTTTGTAGGATTCAGGTTAGAACAAGCGTTTTGCGCCTTTTCCTTGGCGGTGCGTTAGGTCCCCAGACGAGACGTACCTGGTATCAAAGGCGTGAAGTGCGGCCCTAATGGTTGTCCTCCGTCAGGCGCGAAGCCTCACAAGCTTTTTGCTCCGCAGGCTCACTCATTCTCTGCACATTCCTCCACCCCCAACCTTTTCCGGTCCCTCCGCCTTTTCCCCCCATCTCACTCCCCCACTCCCCTGGTCAGGTGGGGCAGGCTTTTCACGCGTCCCCGCAGGCCCTGGGCACTCTCACGCTCGTGCGCGCGCTCGTGCAGGTGGGGAGCTGGGGGCGTGCGGGAGGGGTGTTCGGAGGGGAAGTGGGGAAGAGGGGGGGTGCTGTTAGAGGCGTCTAAAACTTGCTCTCTCACTCTCGTGCAGGTGCAGGCCTTGGAGCGGGGAAGGGGGGGGGAAGGAGGGAGTGGTTGCAGGTGGGGAATGGGGGGAAATTGGTTGGTGGCGGAGGGGGGGGGGAGAGACTAAAGGCCGCCACAAGCCCTCTGGCCCCCTGGCCGGCCTGGCTTCATTTGCTGTGATGGCTTCATGTGCTGTGAACCGACTTGAACCCCACCCTCACACACCTCCTTCCAACCTCTCCCATGCTCACCACCGCCACGCCTTCACGTGTCCTCCTCGCTTCATGGTTGGTGTATTGACTGCCTCGTGTGCTTCGAACGGCATTCACACTCACATGCTCCCCGTTCCCACAGTCGCTATCCTCCTTCCGAACTTTCTGTGCCCTCCATGTCTTGCCCTCCGTGTCTTGCCCTCCGTGTCTTGCCCTCCATTCTGTGACCCCTGCCAGGCCTTAACCTGCCCGCTCGCCCCATGGCTGGCGCACTGGATGGCCCGTGTGAAAGTGATTGCAGTGGGCGCGTTCACATGGGCCATCGCCACTCTGGGGGTTGGCATCGCCACCAACTACTATGAGGTAAATCCCGACTGATCATTTGCTCTGAGGTAAGCAGCAGTGAGTGCGTGAGAAGCTGGCTCCGGGTGAACGGGTGGGGTGACTTGCGCCTACCACTTGCACTCATGTGCGAGTGATTGCAGTGGGCGCCTTCACTACACATCGAGGTAAATCCCGATTGATGATCTACTATGAAGGAAGCAGCTTCCAGTGGTCCAAGCAAACTGTGAGAAGCTGGTTCCAGCAGTTCGGTCGCACAGTGATTTTTTTGGAGCCTGATAGTTCGGTCACACAGCTGGAACCAGCATTGGAGCTTCCACTGGTCCAAACTAGCCCATCATTCCCGCCTCTCTTCCGTCTTCCCCACCCCCCCAGGTGGCGGCAAGGCAGGGCCTGAATGGGGTCGGCCTAGCCCTGGTCATCCCAGCCATCCAGTCGCTAGTCATCGATTCAGCCAGCAACAGCACCAACTGTGGTTGAACCATCCCCCTTCCCCCACCGTCTCTCTCTTTCCTCCGTCCTCCCTGCCCATTCAACTCCCCTCTCAGGTAGCGGCATGGAGGGGTCTCAACGGGGTGGGGCTAGCCCTGGTCATTCCAGCCATCCAGTCGCTGGTCGCCGATTCAGCCAGCAACAGCACGAGAGGCATGGTGTTCGGCTGGCTGCAGTTCGTCACCAACTTTGGCAACATCCTCGGCTTCACATCGAAGTTGCTCCATCTCCCTCCCCACACCCGCTCTCTCCTTCTCCTTCCTCCCACTTCTCAATTGATCCAACCATGCCTCCTCCCTGCCAGGTGGCAGCATGGAGAGGCCTCAACGGGGTGGGCCTAGCGCTGGTCATCCCGGCCATCCAGTCGCTAGTGGCGGATTCAGCCAGCAACAGCACGAGGGGCATGGCGTTCGGCTGGCTGCAGTTCGTCACCAACTTTGGCAACATCCTCGGCTTCACCCTCGGCATCTCCCTCGCCTGCTACACCTTCTTTGGGCTAGCCGGCTGGCGCATGGCTTTCATTATCGTGACGGTTGTCAGCCTGGGTTTGGCGGCCGTGCTGTGGCTCTTCGCACACGACCCCCCTCCCACCACAGTCAAGTGAGTGTTGAGTTGACTCTGAAGTAATGTTCACTGCTTCACCCTCGGCATCTCCCTCGCCTGCTATGCATTCTTCGGCCTTTCTGGCTGGTTCATGGCCTTCATTATAGTCACGGTCGTCAGCTTGGGACTGGCGGCTGTGCTCTGGCTCTTCGCGCACGACTCGGCTCCCACCACGGTCAAGTGAGTTTTGAGTCGAAAACATTTCATTGTAACACAATACATCCTCAGCTTCACACTCGGCATCTCCCTCGCCTGCTGTGCCTTCTTCGACCTCACCGGCTGGCGCATGGCATTCATTATAGTCTGCCTGGGTCTTGCGGCTGTGCTCTGGCTCTCCGCACACGACCCCCCACCCACCACGGTCAAGTGAGTTTTGAGTCGACTATAGAGTGCATTCAACCCCTCACCCTCGGCGTCTCCCTCGCCTGCTACGCCTTCTATGGCCTCGCTGGCTGGTGGTGCATGGCGTTTATTATCATGACTCGTCAGGCTGGGGCTGACGGCTGTGCTCTGGCTATTTGCGCACGACCCCACGCCTACCACAGTCAAGTGAGCTTCGAGTTGACTCTATTAGTAAAATACTCGGATTCACCCTCGGCATCTGCCTCGCCTGCTATGCCTCCTTTGGGCTCACAAGAGAAGCGCACTGCAGAGCCATTGCAACCAGCACCCTTAACTCAGCTCTCCTTCGCCCAACCCCCCCTTCTCTCCCGGCTCCCTCTCTCCCACTCTCGCTGTCTTTCCCCGCTCTCTCCATCAGGTCAGTCGACGCGTTGGCTGCTCTTGCCGATGAGCCCGGCGCACAAGAGGAGCGCACTGTAGAACCGTTGCTGTCTGAAGACCACAGCCTACACTTGAAGCAACAGCAGCAGCATCACCAGCACCAGCAGGAGCAGGTGCAGCAGCAGCAACAGTCTCAAGTCAACGAATCAACCCCACTCCACTCCACCTCCTCCCACCACCGCATCTCCGCCTCCTCCCCATCCCACTCTCCGCACTCCCATCCCCACCCCTCCCCACTCCCTCCCACCCCTCTCTCCTCCCCTCACTCCTCCACCTTCCTCTCAGACGTGCTTAAAGTCCTCCGAATCCGAACCTTCCAGCTGATCATAGCCCAGGGGGTCGTGGGCTCATTCCCCTGGGCAGCAGGCGCATTCTTCCCCATGTGGTTCGAGCTCCTAGGCTTCTCCCATGCCTCCACTGCTGTTCTGCTCTCCGTTTTCACTGTCGCGTGCAGCTTGGGGGGGCTGTTTGGCGGGTGGTTTGGGGATGTGATGGCACGGAGGTGGCCGGATGGGGGAAGGCTGGTGTGTGCGCAGATCAGTGCTGGGTCGGCGGTGCTGCTGTCGACGGTGCTGCTGAGAGTAGTGCCGCATTCGCCTGATTATTTTGGGGTGTACATTATGGTGTTAACCCTCATGGGGTTTCTTATCTCATGGAATGCCGCGGGCACCAACAAGTGAGTGCATTTGCAAGCAGGTCAGCAATGCGAGAAACAAACAGGGCAGCTGCTAGTGAGCCACTACAGTTGATTCTCAGAAGATTGGTTGGTTCTATCAACCAGGAATGACTGATTGTGCTCTAAGAACGTTGCAGGAGGCGCATGATGCCTTGTGTGCATGATGCCTTGTGTGCATGATGCCTTGTGTGCATGATGCCTTGTGTGCATGATGCCTTGTGTTCATGATGCCTTGTGTGCATGATGCCTTGTGTGCATGATGCCTTGTGTGCATGATGCCGTGTGTGCATTATGCCTTGTGTGCATGTTGCCTTGTGCGCATGATGCCTTGTGTGCATGATGCCTTGTGTGCATGATGCTTTGTGTGCATGATGCCTTGTGTTCATGATGCCTTGTGTGCATGATGCCTTGTGTGCATGATGCCGTGTGTGCATGATGCCTTGTGTGCATGATGCCTTGTGTGCATGATGCCTTGTGCGCATGATGCCTTGTGTGTATGATGCCTTGTGTGCATGATGCCTTGTGTGCATGATGCCTTGTGTCATGATGCCTTGTGTGCATGATGCCTTGTGTGCATGATGCCTTGTGTGCATGATGCCTTGTGTGCATGATGCCTTGTGTGCATGATGCCTTGTGCGCATGATGCCTTGTGCGCATGATGCCTTGTGTGCATGATGCCTTGTGTGCATGATGCCTTGTGTGCATGATGCCTTGTGTGCATGATGCCTTGTGCGCATGATGCCTTGTGCGCATGATGCCTTGTGTGCATGATGCCTTGTGTGCATGATGCCTTGTGCGCATGATGCCTTGTGCGCATGGTGCCTTGTGCGCATGATTAAAACATGCCATTTCATCCATCGTTTCTCAGGCTCAGTCATTCACTCCCATACCCCCTTTCTCTCTATACGTCTTTCACGCTGTCCCCCTTTGTATCTTTCCATCTTTCTCTCTCCTGCGTTCCCTCTTTCCCTCGTTCACTCTTTCCCTACTTCGCCTTTCCTTCTTTCCTTGCTCTCTCCCTTTCCCTCTATCCCCTCCCCATCTCCCCACGACCCCCAGCCCCATATTCGCAGAGATTGTCCCCGAGAGACTCCGCACGGACATATACGCCCTCGACCGAACCTTTGAAATGTCCATAGCAGCCTTTGCCCCCCCCACTGTGGGCTACCTCGCCCAGGCTTGGTTCGGGTACATTCCACCCTCGCCCGAACCTGCCGATGCCACTGCTTTGGGCGGTGATAGTGGGAGTGGTGTTAGCAGCAGTAGCTCGTGCAGCCGCAGCAGCAGGAGCCACGCAGAAATGGCAGCAGATGCGAAAAATGCCGAGGCATTGTCGCTGGGTTTGTTTTGGACTATGGCGGTGCCGTTTGCAATTTGCTGTGCATGCTATGGGTGGTTATATTGGACGTATCCCAAGGATCGGGACCGCGTGCGGGCCGAAGCTGCGGCTGAGGCTCGGGAAGAGAGGAGGCCAGGTGGAGGTGAGGAAGGTAGTGGAGAGGGTAGGTGTTAATTTGACAGGCCTGTGTACATAAGATGGTATATTGTTTTTTATCATGTACTTGTAGTCTGTTCTGCTAGTGCTTAGATTGTGATTTTCTCTAGGTTATGTCTTTGTACATGTCTTATCTTGTTCACACTGTGTGTTTGACATAAGTACGGTTTATCGAATCCTCCAGTCCCTACTTTTCCTAGCCCTACAGTCAGGGTTGGCGGATTCTTTGCTCTGCTCCTCGTTCCCTCCTTCCACCATTGCCTCTACACGCAATTGATATTCATCCCATCCAAGCCTCTGGCAATTGCTCCTCAACTCAACGCAAGCCGCGGTCCCATCGTCAGACATTCTCAAGGGTGAACGGTAGATAAATACTTTTGAGGCGCGTCGCAGCAATTCGGCATTAGCAGTTCAACATTCTTTCGAGGCGCGTCGCAGCATGGCGTCATTCTCGAGGCTGCACGACAAAGTGTTCTCGCAGCAGCAAAGCCAGCAGTGCGTTCTCTCTCTCGTGCCTGCTTGCCGATTGTAGCCATTAGCATAATCATTTTCTTTATTTTTCCGATCTCGTGAAATAACCACACTACGTGCTCGTCTTGCGTTGCTGGTTTTTTTGCCGAAGCCACTTGTGCATTTCGAGTCAGTAACGAGTCACCTAAAATACCCCTTCACCTCCCGCTATAGTTAGTTTCGCTTCTCGTCCTCTTCTCAGACACTACCCCTTGCGGGGGCTGAATGCGGGATTCCTTGGAAACCACTTATCCCTTTTATTCACCCTTGGAATTGTCATTTTCGCTTCTCTTCGCCTCTCTCAGGCACTACCGCGACCATCTGCTGGGACTGAACGCCTTTCAGCGACACCAGAAGTTCGTCCATGACTACGGTCAGTCAGTCCCCTTGACGATCCCTATGGTCAGTCAGTCCCCTTGACGATCTCTATGGTCAGTCAGTCCCCTTGACGATCCCTATGGTCAGTCAGTCCCCTTGACGATCCCTATGGTCAGTCAGTCCCCTTGACGATCCCTATGGTCAGTCAGTCCCCTTGACGATCCCTATGGTCAGTCAGTCCCCTTGACGATCCCTATGGTCAGTCAGTCCCCTTGACGATCCCTATGGTCAGTCAGTCCCCTTGACGATCCCTATGGTCAGTCAGTCCCCTTGACGATCCCTATGGTCAGTCAGTCCCCTTGACGATCCCTATGGTCAGTCAGTCCCCTTGATACATCCCGAATTGCAACGACTATGGTCTGTCAGTAGCCTTGAGGCATCTCCAAACGCAACGACTTGGTAAAGTGTTGGTCGAACCTGACACCACTCAGTCCTTTTGAGGCTTCTCACAACACACCGACTACGGTCAGTCTCAAAACATGCCACAAATTTCCGAGTATGGTATGGTCAGCCTGGAATCAGGTTCGACCAACGCTCTATGCGTCACATCCATTGTCGACAACTCTAAAATCTGGATTATGCGTCACTCTATGGCCAACAGAAGTTTTGTGTGTGATTATGGTCACTGACCCGGAAGCCTCTCATAAAGCATGTTCTTTCTTGAGACGTCTCAAAACTCAATGGCTGCTGTCAGCTTCCAGCACAAGTTGATTCAGTACACGCTCGCACTGTCTATCATCAAGAGCATACGATACGGGGGGGTTGGTGGTGCCTGATGTCAGGCCGAACCAGAGGCCCTGCCTGCTCTGCAGCGCCCCTCTTGCAGCCCCCCAACAGCACTGCGCAGTCAGCTGCCCGCCTTTGCTCCTCTTTTCCTGTTCTGGAAGACGGGTGGCTAGGGTGGGTGGCAGAGCGGCAGCAGGCTCTGGAACAGTTCTGTGGTCGGAAGGATTGCTCACAGGGCTACACAGGCCTGCACATACGTGCATGCGTACATGCGCTTGCACATGTCCTCATGCACTTTCACATGCCCACATGCACTTTCACTCGTGCACATGCACTTTCACTCGTGCACATGCACTTTCACGTGCCCACATGCACTTTCACTTCACGTGCCCACATGCACTTTCACATGTCCACATGCACTTTCACATGCCCACATGCACTTTTCACGTGCCCACATGCACTTTCACGTGCCCACATGCACTTTCACTTCACGTGCCCACATGCACTTTCACATGTCCACATGCACTGTCACATGCCCACATGCACTTTTCACGTGCCCACATGCACTTTCACGTGCCCACATGCACTTTCACATGTCCACATGCACTTTCACATGCCCACATGCACTTTCACTTGTGCACATGCACTTTAATGTGCCTAAGAAATGGACGGAAGGGTTGCTCACAGGGTTACACAGGCCTGGACATTCGTGCATGTCCACATGCCCATGCGCATGATGCACTTGTACCGCCTGCCCATAGACATGTGCATGCCTCCACATCCATGCTTACGTGCTCCATGTCTCTCGATGCATTTCCCATTGCCGAGTATACCTATGACCCTCTATTCCCACCTCTAACTTGTGAAGTCTCAAAAAACGCCTGCTCTACACATAAATGCCGCAAATTAAGTCTTTGGCCACCCCACCTCACTCTCCCAATTCCATCCCACCCCACTCCATCCCATGCAACTCCACTGCATCCTTCCCACCCGCCCCCACCACACGCCATGGCAGTGCGTTTCTACGGCCGCTCGGCATCCTCCAGCGCTGCACCCACATTCAAGACGGACCTGGACGTTCTCAGGGAGAGCTACAGGTATGGGACGTGTTCTCAAAACCTCACCTACTCCCACACCCGTGTGACATGTCTCTCCGTCCCACCTGCCACCACCTCCCAATGCTGCACCCACATTCAAGACGGACCTGGACGTTCTCAGAGAGAGGTACGTCTGTGCACCACTAACGTGTACTGACCATACTGACCATGCTTGTCCCATGTTCAACCCATGTGTCTCTACATCTGAGGTGCATGTTCACTCGGTCAGACGCGGATGATGCATGCCAGTGCATGCATGTCCAAGCACCACCCATGCCTGTCCCCTTGCCTGTCCCCACAAACCATGTGTGTCCCCATGCCTGTCCCTAACCCATACGTGCCCCCTTGCCTGTCCTTAACCCATGTGTGTCCCCATGCCTGTCCTTAACCCATGTGTGTCCCCATGCCTGTCCTTAACCCATGTGTGTCCCCATGCCTGTCCTTAACCCATGTGTGTCCCCATGCCTGTCCTTAACCCATGTGTGTCCCCATGCCTGTCCCCATGCCTGTCCCTAACCCATACGTGCCCCCTTGCCTGTCCTTAACCCATGTGTGTCCCCATGCCTGTCCCCAACCCATGTGTGTCCTCATGCGAGGAGCAGGTTCATTCGGTCAGAGGCGGATGATGCAGAGGGCACGTGGGAGCAGAGGCTCGCCAAGCGATACTATGATAAGCTGTTCAAGGAGTAAGCACTTGAACCGCAATGTTTGAGTCTAGTAGTCCTGTTCAAGGAGTAATCACTTGAACCTGAATTGATCCACAATGTTTGAGTATGTAGTCATACTGACAAGCTGTTGAAGGAGTAAGCACCCCTGACCAGCTGTTAAGAGTGTAAGCTTTTTTAAGTTGATTCTTGAGAAATCTTATATGTGACTGACTTAATTATTGCAGTGTCATCTTAAGCAGTAGTGAGTGTGTGACACACTATGAAGGGAGGGAAGACTGTGGTGGTTTTTTATTAGAGGGACCAAGTGATGTAACACTAGGAAAGCTGTGGTCGTATATCTTAAAGGTTGTGACACTTGGTCACTTGGACCGAGTGCTTTCTGATAATTCTGTGAATCAAAGGACTGAGTGCTGTGACACACAGCGTGATAGGAACGAGATACAGTCTACAGATCACTCAGAATTCTCCTAAGCATGTCCGTCATCATGTGTGTGCCTGTTCTGGTGCAGGTACTGTGTTGCGGACATGAGCCGATACAAGGAGAACAAGGTAATAAGCACTTCAGGCTTGCATGTGTATGAGATGAGCATTGAACATCACATCACATCACATGTGTGCCATGGCTTTGAGTTTATTGTATTAACATCACGCTGTCATTGTGCCTCTCGGATCCCTGCTGTAGTGCACGAGTTGTTTCGAACACTAACAACTGTCCTTTTGCACGTACATAAGTTTAAACGTACGTCTCTTGTGTGCTTCTTATATACACACACACACACATGTTTTCGTTCCTACATTGGTTTTTGTTTTTGTTTTTTGTGTTTTTTTTTAACTAGTACTTATTTCGGTTTCCATCTTTGCGTAATGCTGCACTTTCAGATTGGCTTGCGATGGCGCACACATGCTGAAGTGCTGCAGGGAAAAGGTAGAGTGACTAGTTAGAGTGGGTAGGGGAAGTGGGTGGTTGAAGTGGACATGTGAAGTATGTGGTGAAAGTGAGTGGGTGGAGCGAAGAGGTGAACTGGATGTGAATAGAGGAAGCAAGAGACACACCAGCTATTGCACCTTCTTTGAGTGATTGCATGCGTGGTTGCATGCCTGTTGGCATGTGTAATTGCTGGTTTGATCTGATAATAGGTGGCTTGATGGCGTGTGAATAGCAATGAATAAAACCTTTTCCAGGTGTGTTCTCGTTTCCTCTCTACTGCACTGTTTCTCATTCCATTCTTTCTCACATCTTCCTTGCAGGTCAGTTTGTGTGTGGCACTAAAGGGTGTGACAATAGAGAAGGCCTTCATAGCTACGAGGCAAGTCATACAGAAGCATTGTCAGCCTTGCAATCCCTTTTTGCTCCTCCTCTTCCCCTCATCCGCCCGCTGAATACACGCCCTCTGTGTTCCAAGTGAGTCTTCTACGTTGACCTACTCCACGCACTCCTCTATTCCTCGATGCGCTCGCTCACCTTTCTTCTGATTCAATGGCCTAAGCACAGCTCTGCGATTTCAGTTGGCATGAAAGTGTTAGAATGTAGAACTGAACGAGAATGTGTGAAACTAGGCAGCAGGGTGATACAAGTAGGAAACCCTAGCAATGTTGTACCCCCTAAGGCTAAACCCACTATAGCCTACACAATATGAACATGTATAATGTTTGACACACCCCCATAGGCTAAGTGGGAGACAACCAGATGGTCACAAGACCAGTCAAAGCAAAGCAAAGCAAGCTCAGGGTGGATCTCAAGGAAACCACACAAATTCCGAGCACAAGCAAGTGGTCACAAGACCAGTTCACATGCAGTTTGATAATATAACAAGAGGTACAGTGATCACAACCTAACAAGAGTAAACATGCAGGTATATATATATAGAGATCACAGTACAAGCAGAGTCAAGAAGTGAGCAAGTGAGGGAGAGTAGGCACAAGGCCTAGAACAGTACAGAAACGCTGATGGTCACAAGGCTGAAGCGCCTTGGTGAACACATCAGCAGTGTTGGCCCGAGTGGCCACGTAACGCAGACGAAGCTGACCACGCTGCTGCAGCTCTCGAGCAAGGAAGTAGCGCAGAGCGATGTGCTTCGTCCTGTGCTCCAGTCTGTGCTCCTCACACAAGGCAATGGCGGCCTTGTTGTCAACGTACAGCACTGGAGGAGAACGAGGCCGCTCTCCCAGGTCGGTCAGCAGGTAGGTGAGCCAGCGTAACTCCTGTGCAGCCATGGCTGTGGCGTAGATCTCAGCCTCACAACTGGAGCTGAGAACAGAAGAAGAGCGAGTAGAACGCCAAGAAACTGAACCAGAGCCAAGGCTGAAGGTGTAACCCTGAGACGACCGCTGCGTAGCCTGGTCGTCAGCCCAAGAAGCGTCTGAGTGACCCGTGAGGACAACGTCGCTCCGACCTTCAAGCACGAGCCCCATGCCCGACGTACTGCACAAGTAGCGCAACACCCTCTTAGCGGCATCCATGTGCTCCTTCCGGTGACGGCCGGGAGCGACATAGCGTGCTAGGATGCTAAGAGGGTATGCCAGGTCAGGTCGAGTGCAGGTCATCAGGTACATGAGGCAGCCCACAAGCTCTGGATACGGGCCACTCGGCTCTACGGACTCATCCGAAGGCAGAGCTGAGAGCGAGTGACCGGTAGGCAGAGGAGTGGGCTGAGGCGAGGAGTACGTGAAGCGGAAGCGCTGAAGGACCTGCTGCACCATGTGTGACTGAGTCAAGGTGATGGTGCGCTGTGCTCTGTCCCGGGTGATCCGCAAGCCAAGATAGCTTGTCAGCTCACCCAGGTCTGTGCACGTGTGTCTCTTCTGCAGCTCCGACTTCACGTGGGCGAGTGCCTCAGTGTCAGCAGTAGCAAAGACCAAGTCGTCTACGTAAACAAGAACGTAGAACGGCCGCAGAGTGGTGTCGGTGCGTAGAAACAGCGACAGGTCAGCAGTAGAAGGAGCAAACCCAAGAGCAGCAAGAGTAGTCCTCAGTGTGTCGTGCCACTCACGGGGTGCCTGGCGGAGACCGTAGACTGACCGCCGGAGGCTCCACTGGGTACCAGGAGGGAACGACCCAGTGAAGCCAGGTGGGCGGCGCAGCCAGATCTCCTCGTGCAGGCTGCCCTGTAAGAACGCAGTGCTGAAGTCAAGAGAGTGGAGCTCGTAGTCACGCTGAGCAGCGACGTGCAGCAGAACCCGAAGAGTGGTCATCTTCGGGGTCGGGGAGAAGGTCTGGAAGAAGTCAACTCCCTCTCGCTGACTGAAGCCTCGTGCAACGTAACGCGCCTTGAAGACAGGCGGAGAACCCGGCGGCCGCTTCACCCTGAAAATCCACATGCCACTGACGATGTTCGCCCCAGGTGGGGGAACCTCGTCGACGTAGGTGCCTGTGGACTTCCAGGAAGCCATCTCTGCGTCCATGGCTGTCTGCCACTGAGAGGAGTAGGGACCCTCCATCGCCTCTGCGTAGGAGCGTGGGGTCGGGATGTCTGGTGCATCCGGGTCTCCCTCAGGGGCAACTAGCATGGACACGAGATGAGGCAAAGCAGCGGCAAAGCACTCAAACTCCTCCTGTCTGTCCTCAAGGACGTCCGTGCCAAGAGCACACTCACCCCCGACAGACGGAGGACAGACAGACTCAGACTCAGACTCAGCAACAAGGCTAGCGGCGTAGTCTAGACGACAGGCAGCAGCAAAGTCAACAAGCTCAGCGACTAGAGAAGACGCAGCAGAGGACTCAAAGGAAGGGTCAGTGACAGCAGTGGCAAGGAGACGCGTGACAGTAGGACTGGCAGCACGAAGAGAGTCAGACTCCGGGTCAGCAAGAGCAGGAAGAGAGGACGCTGGTGGAGACGGCAGTGGGACACGCTGTGGAGCAGTAGAGGGACGCAGGGTCATATAGTGAGTGCCAAGGACAGGAGGAGGACGCTGACGTGGAACACGACGACCAGCGCGGACAGCGCGGACAGGCGACTCTGGACGCGACTCAGACGACTCTGGACGAGTCTCAGGCGACGGAGGACGAGACTCAGGCTCACGACGCTCCGTAAGACCTCCCGTCGGCGCAGTGTAGGGAGAAGGACCAGGAAGTGGAGAGACTGGCTGTAACTGTGACTGCGACTGGATAAGCGGTGGACTCAGTAGGGGAGGAGTAGGACCAGGAGAGGGCGGAAGGCCAAGAACCTGCTGAAGGAGCGGAACGTAGTACGGCCGTGGCCGCTCAGCACCTCCAGCTCCAACCCCCTCAGCAGGGCCAGTCCCAGCAGCTCCAGCAGCACCGCCAGCAGCAGCAGGGTCCCCAGCAGCTCCAGTACCAGCAGCACCTCCAGCAGTGCCAGCAGCACCACCAGCAGCAGCAGCACCTCCAGCAGCTCCAGCAGCACCAGTACCAGCAGCACCTCCAGCAGCGCCAGCAGCACCGCCAGCAGCAGCAGTACCACCAGCAGCTCCAGTAGCTCCAGCACCAGTAGCACCTCCAGCAGCGCCAGCAGCACCAGCAGCACCTCCAGCAGCGCCAGCCGCACCGCCAGCAGCAGCAGCACCTCCAGCAGCTCCAGCAGCACCAGAACCAGTAGTACCTCCAGCAGCGCCAGCAGCACCTCCAGCAGCAGCAGTACCTCCAGCAGCTCCAGCAGCACCAGCAGCACCTCCAGCAGCGCCAGCCGCACCGCCAGCAGCAGCAGCACCTCCAGTAACTCCAGAAGCTCCAGAGTCCACGACACCGGGAGCGCCACTCCGGAGACTGCAGCGCCTAGCGTACCACTCTCGGAGCTGCTGGGGAGAGGGGAGCTCCCGCCTAGGAGGGGAAGCACTAGCACCAGCTCCGGCACCACTCCGAGCTCCAGAAGCACCTCTCCTGAGGCTGCAGTACTGTAAGTACCACTCACGCAGCTGCTGCGAGGAGAGGCCTCCCCCAGGTGCAGCACGCTCAGGCTCAGTACTCTCAGACGTAGCACTCCCAGGCTCAGCACCCCCAGGCTCAGCAACGCAGTGTCGGCGAAGTCTCCGGAACGGAGACACGGGGCCAGAGGTTGAGCTGATGCGCAGCGTATCGGACCGCAAACGGCCACAGAAAGTGGGGGGCAGCCGCATGGATCAAGGAGGTACGAGCGACCTCCATGACCAAACCAATGCGGCGCTCAGCAACCCCATTCTGCTGTGGAGAGGCCGGAAGCGTGAACGACTGGCGGATGCCGTGCTCCGCACAGTAGGCTGCCAAGAGGTCAGAGGAGAACTCACCACCTCTGTCAGAGTGCAGACGCAGGACAGGAAAGTCCGAGTGGAACCGCTCACTGAGCTGGAGACGAGAAGCGCGGATCCAAGGGATCAAAACATCAGGGACCTCACCCTTGGTGTGCAAGGGGAAGACCGTGGTGTAGCGCGAGTAGTCGTCAACAACGATCAGGAAGTACCTCTCCTGACCCTGTCCACGGACGCGGGCTGGGCCCCACACGTCCATGTGGAGCGTCTGCAAGGGAGCAGTCGTCGGGGGAAACGAGGAGGAGTGAGGAGCGGCGCGCTGCCGCCCCTCGACACAGGGAAGGCAGGGAGGAGCAGGCGAGGGTGGGAGTGGAGGGAGAACCCTGGGAAGACCAGAGACAAGGTACTGGTTGTGCATGGCACGAAGGCGCTGCACTGACGGGTGACCAAGACGGTGGTGCCAGAGGACAGTCTCGTGTGCCAGAGAGCGACACGAGCAGGGGGCAGACAGCTGACCTGACGCAGACGCAGACGCAGCTACCTGTGGGGACTCAGTGGTCAGTGTGTACAGGTCCGACCCCGGCTGCCGAGTGAAGGTAGCCAGGTGGCGGCCCGTCCGAGCGCACGTGCAGTGTGTCACACGCTCGTAGGCAGGGGTAAACTGGTGGACTCCCCCGTCCTGGAGCGCACTACCCGCCACCAAGTTCGTAGAGAACGAGGGGAGGTAGAGACCCGACAGAGTGCCCGACGGGACCGCAGGACAAGGGAGAACAGTAGAGGAGGTCGCAATGACCGGACCCCCAGAGGGGTCAGCGAGGGAGACTGCAACCGGCCGAGCAAGCTGCTCAAGGGCAGTGCGGTCACGAAAGAAACAGCGGGAAGCGCCTGAGTCCAGTGTGAAGGTGTGCAGTGCCTCAGTAGACGCAGTACCAGAGGGCGCAGACTCACGAGTACCTAGAGCAGCAGCCTCACCAGCACCTGGGGCAACAGACACACGAGCACCTAGTGCAGCAGCCTCACCAGTACCTAGAGCAGCAGACTGGATACCGGGGTCAGGCGGCACACACAGGTGACAGGCACTCTCAGCACTAGTAGGAAATGCATACATGGCAGTGAGGATAGCATCATAGTCAAGAGCATAGATATCTACCCTCTGCCTAAGCAGCTCCACCCAGTCGGGGAGCTCAGCCGCGTCGCCAAACTCTGTACGCCAGGCGTCGCTCAGACGGGCGAAGCAGCGGGACTCTGTGTGACCAAACGTCCCGCAAGGCTGACCAGTCCGAGCACCAGTGCGAATGACGTACGGGCAGCGAGCAGTACCCCGTGACCCTCCACGCTGAGCGTACCACTCACGAAGCTGCTGGGGCGTGAGGGACTCACTCAGACGTCGCGGGAGCTGCATCTGGCCACCGCCAGGAGCAGCAGTAGCAGTAGTAGCAGCAGTAGTAGTAGCAGCAGCGCGGCCACCCCTACAACCCCAACCAGCATACCACTCACGAAGCTGTTGGGGCGTGAGGGACTCACGCGGACGGCGCTGGAGCTGCATCTGGCCACGCCAGGAGCAGCAGTAGAAGTAGAAAGAGCAGTAGCAGCAGGAGCAGCAGTAACAGCAATACGGGCAGGGCAGTGCTCACCAGTGGCGAGAAGGGCAGGCGTACGACGGTGGTAACGGCGAGGCCGCTACCACTGCAGGGCGAGGGCTCCGCGGCAGCTGCAGGGGCGGCTGCAGAGGTCCAGGGGCGGCTGCTGCTGGGGCAGCTGCTCCAGGGGCGGCTGCTCCAGGGGCCAGGGGCAGCTGCTCCCTTTTTTTTTTTTTTTTAATTAATTATTTATTTTAGGGTTTGGCAGAGCGCACTCGGCGCTGCAGAGGCGGCTCGCGGGCTGCAGGGTGGCTCGGGCAGCAGCGAGGGGGGGGGGGGGGCGGCGCGCGGCTCCCCAGGGCGTCGCGACGGGGCAGCGGGGGGGGGGGGGGGGGGGGGGCGCGCGCGGCTCCCCAGGGCGTCGCGACGGGGCAGCGAGGGGTCGCGCGCGGCTCCCTAGGGCGTCGCGACGGGTCAGCGGGGGCCGAGCGCGGCTCCCCAGGACGTCGCGACAGGGCAGCGGGGGGCCGAGCGCGGCTCCCCAGGGCGTCGCGACGGGGCAGCGGGGGCCGAGCGCGGCTCCCCAGGGCGACGCGACGGGACAGCGGGGGTCGCGCGCGGCTCCCCAGGGCAGCGCGACGGGGCAGAGGCAGCGCCCACGGGCGACACGCGGCTCGGCAGGGCAGCGCGCTGGCTGCAGGGGCGGCTCTCGGGCCTGACGGGCCTGCAGAGGCGGCTCGGGGGGGCCTGACGGGTCTGCAGAGGCGGCTCGGGGGCCTGACGGACCTGCAGGGGCGGCTCGAGGGCCGTACTAGCTTGCAGGAGGCAGCGCGAGGGCTGCAGGACGGCACGCGGGCAGACCGAAGGGCGGGTCGCACGGGGGCGCACGAGGGCGCACGTAAGGTAGGGCGCACGAGGGCGCACGAGGGCGCACGAGTATAGAAAGGCGCACGAGGGCGCACGTAAGGTAGGGCGCACGAGGGCGCTTCTAGCGGAATAGTGGGCCCGTAGGAGAAAGCGGTCCTAGGTAGCAACCTAGGCTCTGATACCATGTTAGAATGTAGAACTGAACGAGAATGTGTGAAACTAGGCAGCAGGGTGATACAAGTAGGAAACCCTAGCAATGTTGTACCCCCTAAGGCTAAACCCACTATAGCCTACACAATATGAACATGTATAATGTTTGACAGAAAGTTGTTCGGAGTTGAAAAGGCACCAAGTGGCTTTTCCCTTTCGTGTTTTTGTATCATGTCAGGTCAGGAATACAACTTTGCTCGCATCCCTGTTTCCATGACTTTTCTCGCACGCACAGCCCTGCTCATCCCACACCCCTGCATGTTTCTTGGGCATGTCGGCATGTATACCTGCATGTATGTCTGCATGTAATCTGCATGTATTTTTGCATGCATGTGTTCTTGCATGGCTATCAAGGGCAGGTCAATTTCGCCTACCATGAGGCCGGGCAGAAGAAACAAGCTCTGGTCAAGTTGAGGGTGTGTGCCAAGTGAGTGAAGCTGAGTGTGTGTACCTACCAAGTGAGTGAGTTTGATTCAAACGTTCAAGAAATTACTCATAGTCAAGTGTGCCTCTCCAAATCAGAAATTGATGGAACCTTATGAAAATGTTGTGTTTGTCGAAGTCAGATGTCGGTTTCAAAGCGCCTCCTGAACAAAAACTAACTCGGCTTTAGCCGCTAGGTAGCAAAGGCGGGGAAGCAGTCTGTCTCTGATGCGGCTCAAGACCAACGTAACTCCTCACCATCGCTCCTCATCTCACACCACCCCCTGTTTCAGGCACGCGTATCAACTCAACCAATGCAAGGAGAAGGAGCTGGAGCGGCAGCAAGAGGAATGACTCTCTGAGGCGGCTCAAGACCAACCTAACACCTTACCATCGCTCCTCACCTCGCACTACCACTTGTTTTTTCCAGGCATGCGTATCAGCTCAATTATCGCAAGGAGAAGGAGCTGGAGCAGCAGCGAGCAGCAGAGGAGCGGGAGAGGGAGAGGGAGGAACGAGAGAGAAGGCAGAAGGAGAAGAAGAAACGGAAGAAGCGAAGGTAATATGGGATGGTGAATGGTAGCGCTGTGGGATTGGGAGTCCTCTGGAATCGTGAATCCGCATGCTTTGTGCATCTGTTTGATTCTTGAGTAAATGTGTGTCAAGAATTAGGAGTGGGAAATAGTGAATGGGTGAAGAGTATGTGGGTGTGTTGCAAGTATTCTACGTGTTTTTATGGACCGCTTAGCAATTGCTCTTCAACTCGTGAAAACAAGTTAATGAGACATCATTGCTTTTGTAGAAGTCTCTCATAAACTACTCGACCTTGCTTTCTGCAATTACAAAATTTTGTTGCGAAATCGCCATCACCCCCATTCTGGACTATTTTGCCATCATATCTTCTTTTGGCCATGTCGCCATCCCCTGCCTTTCTTCTCCATGTCACCTTATATGCAGAGACAGCGACAGTGACTCGAGCAACAGCCACAACCAGAGTGATACTAGTGGTAGTGGTGATCGTAGTGGTTCTCGTGATACCAGTGACACTAGCGGCAGCAAGAGGGGTGCAGCAGAGAGAGACAGTGATGAAGGCAACAATGCAAAGAGGCATAAGAGGGGACGCAGCGAGAGGGCAAGGAAGGAGGAGCACACTGGAAGGGGGGTGAGGCATGGTGCAAAGGAGAAGGAGGAAGCTAAGCTTAGGCGGGATAGGCAGGAGCAGAAGTGTGAAAAAGATGGGGGGAAAGATTCAGGCCGGGCAGGGGGGATAAGTGGAGCGAGCAGGGAAAGTGGGGCAGGTGGGGCAGGCGAAGGAACAGAGGCAGGGCAGGATGGGCGGGTACATGGATTGGGGGGTGTTGGCGAATCAGCAGCAGATGGACATGCGAGTGCGGGGGCTGGGGAGGGACATGGAGAGAGACAGGGGCAGGGGAAGGGGCAGGGGCAGGGAGAGGGTCAGGGAAGTGGAGGTGGTTTGGCAGATGGCAAGGGCAAAAATGTTGTGGTTCAAGGTGAGAAGCAGGGGCTGCTTGTAGCATGCTGTTGGGTTGTGTGTTCGCTGCCGTGTTTTAGAGCTGCCATCTCTGCTTTGAGCTGAGGTCAATGCGTCCTCCACATGCAAGCTTGGCTGTGTCCTGCCGCATAGCACATGCATGCATAGGTCACTAACACCTATTTAATGTCATGTATATTGTGGATATATAATCTGCTTAATCTGGATGCACTATGCAGGGGGCACGCTGCCAGCCAATGAGGACGTTTGGCAGCAGCCAGCAATGGCAGTGGAGCCAAGTCGAGAAGAGGAGTTTGACGAGTACTTCCAGGGAATGTTCCTCTAGGCATTGTGTTGTGGGTGTAGTGTACTGCGCAAGTGTAGGATAGGAGCACAATTTGTAGAGTAAATTGTTATGTTGATACTCAACATACCGTATGATTGTCTGTTGTAATTTTGCTAATGCGAGTGCTGTTCGCCTGTGCAAAGTCCCCAAAATACTGCATGTGGTACCGTATGTAAAGCTCCATGAATTTATCAACTTCTAACAGATACTAGTACACTTCCAAACTTCACGAAATGCGAAAATGCAGTTATGGTACATGCTTCAGGACGATCAGAAATTGCAGCCTGATGACGTCACAAACCGAGACCTGCTCTGCTCTGCTACACCCATAAATCCGGCTGTCAAATTCCTCTTATAATTATCCGCTCTCCTTCGGTAAATATGCATTTACATAGGCGGTGTTCCCCAGGCACACCTGTAGAATTTCCTCCCTTTCCAGTGTTCTCCGTTTCGCTGCAAACGCCCACAATGTCCACGTCAGCGTCAGCCTCTACATCCCGCCGCGAATTCCGCTTTTGCATCGACCGCGGCGGTACATTTACCGACATTTACGCCGAGGTTCCCGGCGACCCGCCCTTCCGCGTAGTTAAACTACTTTCCGAGGACCCTCTAAACTACGATGACGCGCCTCGGGAAGGCATTCGCCGGATCCTCCAAGAGGTAACGGGCGAGAAGATTCCGCGAAACGCGCCGCTTCCTACGGAGCGAATCGACTGGATCCGCATGGGGACCACCGTCGCGACGAACGCGCTGCTGGAGCGCGCCGGCGAACGGACGGCTCTCTGCGTGACACGTGGCTTTCCGGATCTGCTGCGGATCGGCAACCAGGCGCGGCCGCGCATCTTCGATCTGACGGCTCGGCGCGCCTCGCTGCTGTACGAGGAGGTGGTGGAAGTGGAGGAGCGCGCGCAGGTGCTGCCGGGGGAAGAGGCGCAGGGGGAGGGCCGGGGGAAGGGGGATGGTGAGGCGGAAGGCGGGGGGGAGGGGGAGGGGGGTCTGGCGGATGGGGGGGATGAAGCGGGGAAGCGCACGGTGCGCGGAGTTTCGGGGGAGCTGGTGCGTGTGCTAGTACCGCTTAACGTCGAGAAGACACGAGCCGCGCTGGAGAAGGTGTTGGCACGTGGCATCAAGTCATTGGCCATCGCTTTCCTCCACTCCTACACGTTTCCGGACCACGAACGCGCAGTGGCGGCTTTAGCGCGGGAGATGGGCTTTAAGCAGGTCTCTGCGTCGAGCGATCTCGTTCCGATGGTCAGGATCGTGCCACGTGGACACACTGCTTGCGTGGACGCGTATCTGACCCCTGCAATTCGCACCTATGTGGGGAAGTTCTTAGCGGGGTTTGACTCGGGTCTTGCTGACGTGGCAGTGTTGTTTATGCGGTCAGACGGAGGGTTGACTCCCGCCCAAGCCTTCACGGGTTACCAAGCCATCCTCTCAGGTCCAGCAGGAGGTGTGGTTGGATTCGCCCGAACCACATTCGAGTTCGAGGTTCGGGAAATGGAAGGTCTGGAAGGACTTCTGTCTGACGTCAGCAGCAGCAAAGAAAACAAAAACGATCAGGACAAGACAAAAGACGATTCTATTGGTGCTGGTACAGCAGCAGAGGGATCGTTGAGGTGTCGTCCCGTGATTGGCTTTGACATGGGCGGCACATCCACTGACGTGTCAAGATACGCAGGGGGTGCATACGAGCAGGTTTTAGAAACTACCACAGCCGGAATCACCATCCAAGCCCCCCAGCTCGACATAAACACTGTAGCAGCGGGCGGCGGCTCTCGTCTTTTCTTCGAGTCGGGCATGTTACGTGTGGGGCCAGCATCAGTAGGGGCCCATCCCGGCCCGGTCTGCTACAGAAAAGGCGGGCAGCTAGCGGTGACAGATGCCAACCTGCTATTGGGCCGTGTGCTGCCCGAATATTTTCCCGCCATTTTCGGGCCGAACGAGGACCTCCCATTGGACGAGCAGGCGGCGAGGGAGGCAATGGCTGAGCTGGCAAAAGAAGTGAACCGCGGGATGGGTGGGGAGGGAGGTGAGGGGGACAAGGAGGGGGAGGGGGGAGAGGAGTCAGGGGAAGACGGAATGTCAGTAGAAGAGGTGGCGATGGGGTTCATCCGCGTGGCAAACGAGGCCATGTGCCGGCCAATCAGAGAGCTCACAGAGGCTCGGGGCCACGAGACCAGCTCGCACGTGCTCGCTTGCTTCGGCGGCGCCGGGCCTCAACACGCATGCGCCATAGCCCGCTCTCTTGGGATCTCCACGGTTTTTGTGCATCGGCTGTGCGGGATTCTGAGTGCGTACGGCATGGGGTTGGCGGATCGGGTGGTTGAGATGCAGGAGCCTGCTGCTGAGGTGTGCTCCAATGAGAGCCTGCCACGTGTGCTGGCGCGGGCGGCGAGGATGGAGGAGGAAGTGCGGGCGGGATTGTGTGGCCGGGGGAGTGGGGAGGGGGGTGGGAGTGAGGGAAAAGGTGAGGGAGAAAATGGAAAAGGGGGAGAAGGAGAGGGAGGAGAGGGAGGGGAGGGGAGAAAGGAGGGTGGGGAGGAGGCAGGCGTGTGGACGCAGGTGCTGCTGAACCTTCGTTATGACGGCACCGACACGGCCCTCATGGTCGAAGCACCACCCACACACACCCTCCCTTCCACCTCGGCCCCATCCACCTCTCCCTCATCCACCACCCCCCCTGCCACACACCCAGCAGCGTCATTCGACTTCCTGGGTGCATTCAAGCGGCGCTTCGAGCGCGAGTTTGGGTTCGACCTGCAGGGCGATCGGCGCGTGTTGATCGACGACATCCGAGTGAAGGGCGTGGCTCCTTCAGGCGTGCTGCAGCAGACCGCCATTCCCAGGGCTGGCGGAAGTGAAGAGGCGGCAGGCGGCTTGGTGGCAGCAGGGACGGCGGAGGCGGAGGCGGTGCAGCACCGGGTGTACTTTGAAGGCGGGTGGCGGGATACGGCGGTATTCCGGCTGGAGAAGCTGCGGTGGGGGCATGTGGTGAGTGGGCCGGCGGTGATTCTGAACGGGACGAGCACTGTGGTGGTTGAGCCGGGATGCACTGCTGGGATCACCAAGTATGGCAATATCGTCATTGCTGTGACTCACACGGCACATCAAAGTGATGTGGAGGGAGCAGCAGAAGCAGCAGCCGCATCAGCAGCAGGAGCAGGAGCAGGAGCAGGAGCAGCAGTAGCAGCGGCAGCGGCAGCACCAGTATCAACACCAGCCGTCCCTCCTTCCCCCGCAGTCCCCTGGGACGTGGTGCGGCTGTCCATATTCGGCAATCGCTTCATGGGCATCGCAGAGCAGATGGGGCGGACGCTGCAGCGCACCGCCATCTCCACCAACATCAAGGAGCGCCTCGACTTCTCCTGTGCGCTCTTCTCCCCCGATGGCGGCCTAGTGGCAAACGCTCCCCACGTGCCTGTGCATCTGGGGGCTATGTCGGATACAGTGCGGTGGCAGCTGGAGTATTGGGGGAGAGGGGCCGGGGTGGCGGAGGGCGGGTTGCAGGAAGGGGATGTGCTTGTAACGAATCATCCCTGTGCTGGGGGGAGTCACCTGCCGGATATCACTGTAGTCACGCCGGTGTTTCGCGAGGGTAGGATTATATTTTTTGTCGCGAGCCGGGGGCATCATTCGGAGATCGGGGGAAGTACCCCTGGGAGCATGCCGCCGTTTTCGCGGAGTATTTGGGAGGAAGGAGCGGCGATTCGGACGATGAAACTGGTGAAGGGAGGAATTTTCCAGGAAGAGGCGATTCGTGCGGTGCTGCTGGAGGGGCAGGTGTTGGAAGGGGTGATGGCAGGTGGAGCGGGTTTGAGTGGGGACGGACAGGGAGGAGGGAGAACAGTGCGGCGTGTGCCGGGCACTCGCCGCATCGAGGATAACCTATCGGATCTGCGCGCACAGGTGGCAGCGAATCAGCGGGGAATTGAGCTGATAGGGGAGCTGGTGGAGGAGTGTGGGCTGGTAACGGTGCTGGTTTATATGGGGTACGTGCAGGTGAATGCTGAGCAGGTGGTGCGACGCATGCTCACCCGCACTGCCTTGAAACATCTTCAGAGCCAGAAGCAGCAGGTGGCAGCCAAGAATAGTGACATAGCAGCCGAGACCGATGCTGTAGCAACCGAGCGAAGCGACTTAGCAGCTGAGAAGCAGCAAGGGGGTGGCGATGGGGAGACTGCGCAAGCCGGTGACGGTGACGGTGACAACCAGGTGGTGGTGCTGCAGGGAGAGGACCGCATGGACGACGGCTCCTTGATCCGCCTGCGCATCTCCA